AGCGAGGGTGTATTTTCAGTAATTCAGTGGGGAAAATCAAACGAAAGCAGAGCGCGTCGCTTCGATTGTCAGGCGCCAGGCGTAGTATAGCGTGGAGTAGAGGCATTAAAGTCAAATTAACAAGTTGCAGAATGAGAAAAAAAAAACCTGCGGAAAACCTGCCGCGCGCTTCAAATGAAAATCCCGCCCAACAACAATAACAGAAAAAAGTGTTGAAAAATGCCAGAGCAGCTGTGTGGCGATGGCGAGGGCAGGCAGGGGGGGATGCCGTGCCACAAGGGTACAGGCAAATACCAACGCACTTAACACATATTTACCAACACAGCGGCAGGACCCGCACAAACACACACACACACACACACATAGACATTTAGGGGCAACACATCACAAAAACAACGAACAAGAAAAGAAAAACTCGGTGGAAAAACTTGAAACGCGCCAGGGATTCGAGTCGTGTCGAGATTCCATGTTATATGGCGGACTTGTTTTGCTTCGCCCTCGCATTTTCGTTTTTTTTTTTTTTTTTGCCTCTTCCACCTAGATATTTTTAGCACGCGGGGGCCGAAAATTTAAATCGCAATCGAACTGCCAACAGCGAAAGAAAGAAAGAATCTCGCTGCGAAAATATTAAGGAGCTGGGAAAAAAGTTTTCCTTACCCAGTGACTATGTGTTTGTGTGTTTCTGTGTGCCTGTGTCCGTGTGTTTGTGTTATTTTTTGTTGTTTTGCGTGTTGTTTGGCCCACAAAAGTCGGGCTAATAAAATATCAACAAGCAATGGGCGAGGATGCGAAGGATACGAGCGAAAACAACAATAATAATGCGAAAGCGAGTGCTGCTGCTGGTATGGGAGGGATATGCTGCCCTCCGATGGCATATTGAAAAGACTGCGCCTTCTGTTGCAAGGATAACCAGGCGAGGGAAGAAGCAGCAGCAACACCAGCAGCAGCAGCAGCAACGTCATGCATGTGCAAGGATATTATCAACGTCATGCCTGTCGAAGTTCACACAGACACACACACACACAGAGACGAGCGAGAGAGAGAGAGAAAGGGACTCAGCAAGAGAGAATGAAACAAAAAGAGAGCGATAGATAGGGAGCTGGTGTGGCACATTTTGTTGTTGTTTGTCGTCCTTTACCGACCATTAAACGTATTTATATTTATGGATGTAGGTCCTTCAGCCCTAGTCGACGTTAAATGCATTAAATCCTCAGATAAATCCATTAAAAATAATTTTAACTAAAAGTAAATAAGCAACCACAGTAATCTAATATTAAACGAGCCATCTGACAGTGACCTTTCATTACCCAAAAAGCCATTAAAAGGACTTTAAACAGAGCAAATAAATTTCTTTAAAATAATTTCAACTAAAAGTGAGGGAATATATAATTTATGCGAGCCACAAACTGACTTTTATACCTCAAAACAGCCATAAAAAGCAAGTTTAAAACGTGCAAATAAACGTGGCCCTTCTCAAGGATAAACTTTCAGCTGGCGAGGATAAAGCGTAGCTTTTAATACCTGCTTTTGGCAATTACTATCTCACTGATCCCATCTTTGCTTATTCTTAGGCCGTGGAAATTCCCTTGCGTGCCATGGAAATTTTTGAGCTGGGCTGCCTCTGTCTGTCCCTTGCAATTTGGGAAAAGTTTTTTGTGCGGCCAAGAAACAACAATCGAAATGATATAAAAATGTCATTTAGGGGGAGAAACTGAGAGACTGGGGGGAGGGGCCAAAAGTTTTCTTCTTTTGGGGTAGAAAGAAATTAACTTTATTGGCCGAATCAAGCGAAAATCGCTAAACAAATGCCCCAAGCTCCTTTCAAGTGGTGGCTTAAGATCCTCCTTTTCCCCACTTTGAGTTTCCTCATTTCCCAAGTTGCCAACTAGTTGAGCTTGGCAACACACACACGCAGCGTGTGCAATCTCTCCAGCACGCACACACAGTTGGCAACTAAACACATGGCAAATGTGGCAAACTTGAAACTTATCGACGGCTCTAATCTAAACGGGACAAGCTGGCCCAAAAGTTTTACCCTGCTCCGGTTCTTGGCCTTTTCCCTCCTAAGACACACTAATTCGCAACTTTCGTCCTCTCTGGCTGTTCGTGAGCGCGGCCCAGAAAAGTAGGCTATAAAAACTATCAACACAACTCAAGTTTGCGGCAAGTTGCTGTGTTGTGTGTATGGGATTCCTTCTTAGGTGCAGCAGCAGCAGCAGCATCAGCATCACAACATAAAAATAGGAAAAGTTTTGTTGTTTTATTCGGCTGTGTATTTTTAAGTTTTGCCCCTTCCTGCCGGCGAGCAACTGGATCATATAATCCTTTCACTTAACAAGCAAACTTTTCGCCAGCAGCCGAAACGAAACGAAACGAGAAAAAAAAACTTTGGCAAACTCCTTTGCATAAACACAAACATGACCGTCGAGCAGCAGTTCCCCGAGTCATATCTCCGTGCAGATGTAGACATGAAATTTATGCATTTGCTGCCAGCCCCGAAAAGTATTTATATATGCGCTTATAAATATATGCGCATCTCCCTCGGTCGCTCTGTCGCTCTGTCGCTCTGGCACTTTTTCGCCAGCTCCGTGTTGCTCCAAGAGATAGCCAACAAATTTATGCTAGCAATATAACAAACAAAATATTTGCGCACGAGTTGCAAAAACTTTTTGCAGAGCAACTTTAAAATAACACCGAAGAAGGCTCATGGCAGTAAGAGCACCGAATTTGGCCTAAAGTAAAAAGAAGGCCTAATAGCTCACACACACGCACACACAAACAGCATTGTGCAACATTGTTTCCTGTTTTTTCTTTACATATATATATGCTTTATATATATATGCTAATTAAGGCGCCTACGCCTAGACATTTTATGACTGTATCTCAAGGGGATTATTTTAATCTTTTGTGACTTTGCATTTAAAAAAAAATATATGAGGATTTAAATGGAAGGTCTTTCTTTATATTCTCTTTTAAAGAGAAAGCTTTTTGTAAATCAAAAGCCAAAAATATGCACAGAAGAAAGAACAGGAAGATAACTCAATTTATAAGATATTAGGAATTGTTTGTATTTGATTAAGGAGGCAAACAATAAAACAACAAAATGAAAACATTGCTCATGACAATTCAACTCTATGGGCTTTACGCATCTTATTATTATAGGATCTTATAATGTAGCCAGCTTCTATTATCTCTAGCAAGGATCTCTTCGCTCTCTTTAGGAATTAGCACTAACAAAATTAAGTAAAAATAGGAAAATGGAAAAATGAATAGGAAATAACGAATAATAATAAAAAATAATAATAAATTATTCAGCTTAATATGTTAATATTAAAGCAATTCCTGAATATTTATTAGAATTTTCAAAGTTTAAATTTTATATAAATTTAAATACTCAATAAATAAGTCTCTTTATGATTATTCCTTTTAAAGGCTTAGCCTAATTAATAACCAGATCAAAGGCTATCTCATTTTTTAATTAAAGTGAAATAATTTTAAAGAGATTAACTCGGCCATTTATCAAATGCCAAAATAAGACTTTTAAGGTAACTCACAGATTATTATTTATTGTAAAACGCATATTATGAAATATTACGTTTAGCTAGCAAATGAGATTAGGCCCAAAGCTTGTATATACCTATAATAACTCGGTATAAATTGGGCAACACTTTAAGCTGAACACAATTTAAATTGGGCCAAAGTTAAACGAAGAGGGGAGGGAAAGGAGCTGCGGGCAAACTGCTTTGTGATTTATAGAGCAAAACAAATATAATTAAATAAATCCTCGAATAAATACACAGCGCAGTACAGGACACAACACAACACAACACACACAGACTGTGGCGCAGCCAAGTGATTTCTTTTTTGTCGCTCGCTTTGCTGGCAACAAGTAAAAATAATTAATTATAGATAAATGTGTGCGACGCGTGTGAGATAAATTGCCAAAGCAACGCAGCAACACGGGAATACAGCAACAGCAACAGCAACAACAACAACGGCTAAAATAACAGGCCATCGCCATCCTGACGCTGTAATAAATGACTGTGCCGAAAAATGAGCTTTTAGTTTAATTAATCAAATGAATAATAATCACCACTAAATAGTTGAGGCTAAAGTACATAAATAAATGGCGGACTAACGCCGATGCATGGCCCACTGAGCGCAGGAGTGCAAGGACGCAGAGGAGCCCAAGGACGCCTAGGTGCAGGTGGTGGAGGTGAAGGAGAAGTAGGAGCAGGAGCAGCAGCACGACTAGGAGGAAGAAGAGTAGGAGGAGCAGGAGGAGGAGGAGGGGGAGCAGGTACAGGACAACGACCACGTCGCCGCCGCCGCTGTGATTCATTCTGGCCGCCCAACAAGGCAACAGCATCGAGCGCGGCGATCACAGCGGCGATCACAGCGGCAGTCACAGTGCGGTCGGCGGAGCACCGACAGCTGTTGCCAGTGGGGGACACCACCAGGTCGTCAAGGGAGCTGGAGGCAACGGGGGAGGAGGAGGAGGAGCTAACGGAAGCGGAGCCGGCAGCGGCAGCGGAAACGGAAGTTCTGGCGGGCTACCGGGCGACTGCAGCAGCGACGGCGATCCCAAAAAGTCCTTCTCGCTGCACTGCTGTTGCGTGATCGTCGACATCACACCCGTGGCGCATCCAGGAGGACGCCTGACATCGGCAACAACGGCCTCGGGAAGGGATGCGGGTGGAGCCGCCGCTGGCGGGGGCGGAGGCGGCGGTGGATTGGGCCTGGGCCTGGGCGAGAATGTCTCCCAATTGGCCAGCCAATTGTTCCGCTTTGGCAGCAAAAAGCGTCCCGGTGTCTGCATCTGCAATGCCCAATGCCGGCTGCAATCCCTGGGAGAAGCAGCAGCCGACGGTAGCCTGGTGGGACCCACCATCAAGACCCATCACGGCAGCCTGGATCGTCTGCTGCAGAAGGGAGGAGGAGCCACCAGTGGTGAGCGCTCGATAAGCTGGGTAGTAGATGGCGGAGCAGCCGGCTCCGGAGCCCTGCTGAACGCCTCCTCCGACGAGAGCGATGACAAGAAGAAGGCGAGGCTAGAGGAGGCGCCTCCGCCGCCACGCCCGCCATCCAGGACTCATGGGAAACCCACGGTCAAGGAGGAGTTCGATCGCGGCGTGGAGGTGGAAAAGTTCTATCACCAGATCAATGGCGACATCTTTGAAATCACGCGTCGCGTGAGGGCCAGGGACGAGGAGACCATGGAGCAGAAATGCATTCGCAGAAAGGGATCCGTCCGGGTTACGGAGCCCGCGGGTGCCCATCCCCATGTTCGTATCGAGCAGCGCCCACAGTTGCCGCCGCGTCGGCAAAAAAGCGCCGAGGAAGTGGCCACTATGCCCAAGAGTGCCCTGCGCCAGCCGCCCGAACAGCTGGAGTGGTTCGACCGGAAGGCACAGCAGCGTCACTCTGCCCGCTCGGCCGAAGGAGGCCAGGTGCGGGACGAGACCATGGAATGGCTGAAGCTGCAGAAAACGTCTAGTCCCTCGCAGCCGGTGCGCACTTCTTCGGGTCCCAGCGAGATCACAGTGCTGAAGGACGAGCTGCCCGACTGGCTGCTGGACCATCTGCCGCGCAAAAAGGAGCGGGACAGAGATCGGGAACGCCTCCCCTCGGATGCGGGCAAGGGCGTGGGCTCCTCCGCCTATGCCAAGGCTCTGTCGGAGCTGCTTAAAAAGCCGCTGTCGCGCCAGAGCTCTGGACCCTGTGAGTTCTCGCTGCTCAAGACGGACATCGTGGAGTGGCTCACCAAGATGCAGGTGAGCGGCGGCGGCACAGAACGCGGCAAGTCCCGGCGGTCGCATCATCGCCGCAACGGCAGCGGAGGGGATGCCCAGCCGCGTTCCAACTCCCAGGAAGATGCGCAGGATCATGGCCAGCCCAAGGCCATGGGCCATCGTAAGCGTCACTCTCTGGGACACAGTGGAGCTGCCAGCGAGGAGGAGCAGCAGCAGCTCACCGCCGACTGGATAGCCTATCCCCTGCACAAGCTTCAGTCTTTGGGCAAGCAGCCTCCACCTCCTCCGACTTCCATTCCCAGTGGCTATGCAGTGCCCAGCGCCCTCTCGCACACCCCACTATGCCAGCGGCGGGAAGAGCGCTCCCGGGAACGAAGGCTGCGTCACTCGGCCAGCGAGGTGGTGGGCAGCGGTGCCGGCACAGCCTCCAACGCCCACCTGGAGCGACTGTACGCAAAGCCGCACAAGGAAAGGTATCAGTATGTGCCCAAGACCAGCAAGGAGGCTGGAGGAGGAGCAGGAGGAGGAGGAGGCGTGAAAAAGGAGCGTTCACGTCGCCACCAGACCCAAAGATCCGCCACGGTCTCCGACATGTCCGCCCAGCGATCCGGAGGCCAAAAGCGCAAGTCCTCGAGTGCGGAACGAGCGCCCAGGTCACCATCGCCGGGCCCCTGCACGGATCCCGACTGTCCACTGCTGCCCATCTGCACGGATCCGCATTGCAGGTACCAGGAGTGCCAGGCGCGTCAGTGCCTGACCTCGTCGGTGAGCTCGGTGAACCTGGCGCGGCACCAACAGCTGGCCCAGGTCCAACTGCATGCCGTGCCCATGGGCATGGGCTCCGATGTGCCAACGACACCCTCCACAACGGCCACGCCACCTCCGCCGCCGCCGCCTGCTTCTGCGGGAGGAGCCGGAATAGGAGGAGGAGGAATCCTGGGTACAGAACGCCGCCTGGTCATCTGCCACGACTGCCGGTCGTGTGCGCCACTCCTTAGCTGCCGGAATCGCAAATGCCTCAACGCAGCCAAGTGCAACTCACTGCCTCGCTGCGCCGCCGACTTCAACCGGCTGCGCACCCAGCTGGCCCAGCCTCCAACGACTCTGGACGACATTGAGCCGGCGCCGCTGGACTTGGATCTGGAGATGCAGCCACTGCCCTCGCCCCCGCGTCCGCATCCGTACCAGCATCAGCACCAGCATCACCACTACCGCAGCAACTCGCAGCCAAACACACTGCAGCGTGGTGACTCCGCCAGTTCTGGCGGAGGAACTGGCTCTGGAGGTGGGGGAGGCCTACAAATGGGAGGCGGAAGTCTGGCCTGGCTGGAGCCCACGACCACGCTAGTGCAACCACTGCCCGCCTATGTGCATCACTCGAATGGGAAGCTGATGAAGTCCGCCTCGGCAGCCTCGCTCAACTCGCGCCGGAGACGCCACAAAACAGTACACTTTGGAGAGAATCTGCTGCGGGAGGTGTGCCAGAACCGAAAGCTAATCAAGACGGAGACGCAGGTGCCCTCCGGCTCGGCACCGATGAAGGCCAACATCCAGATGCTGTACAACTTTGTGGAGGGTGTGCTCAGTGCCTGGGTGGACGATGATGAGGACCAGGTGCGCTCTGGTGCCGAATCGGAGCCGGAGCACGGGGTGGTGCCCATGCAACCGATCCATAGATGCAACCGCCTGCGCTACCAGTGCATCCGTCGGGTGGTCGAGGAGGCGGCCGACCTTCAGGGCACCCTGAAGCTGGGCAACTCCCGGTATCGCCATCGCCATTGGCGGAGCACCGCCAAGCAGTGCAACGAAATGTTCCTTCGCAAGGTAGGATTAAAAGGATATTTTTGGGTTTTATTTATAGGGAAAATTCTTCAGATATTCTGGACATATTTATAAGAAATTAGCTATCTTGCTTTCTGGATTCTTTTTTCTGTAAACAACAGAAAGCGTTTTTATGTTAATTAAGCTTTCAGGATTTTTTCTTAATATTTCTTTGATGATTTATATATAATACTCATCGGGGGTGTTAAAGAAATCACTAAGATTCTAGATTGACTTGGCTGTAGATGATGATTAGAAATGTGCTTACTTTGAAATCATGAAATAATTTCATATGTAAAAAAAAAGGAAAAGTGTCTTTAAATGAGCTAAAAGTAGCCTAAATTTTTTGAAATATTTATTTAAAAATATTTCTGACTTAAAAAATAGCTTATCAATTAACGCTATAACCAATTCCAAATGATATGAAGTATATTAATTTAACTTTACAACAAAAACAAAAGCCCTAGCACTCCATATACAAGTCCAAATATACAAATCCAAAGATGAAACCATTTTTGTATTAACGCTGCATTCTGTTAAGCAAATGAAAAAGGACACCAATCCCGGCTGCTCATTTAGCACACACATTATTTGTAATCTCAGGACTTTGCTGGGAGTGCCTCATACTCTATCCTAATCGCCGGCACTCTGGATACACTTGTTCCTCGGCATGCTTTGAACTTTTGCTTTCCCGTTCGGGAAATGAATGAAAATCGCGTGAGAAAATGTCGCCGCGGAGGAGAGTGTGCTGGTATGGAGGCATGGGGAAATGCCTCCAGTTAAGTGTATTGTCTGTCTGCTACAAATTCATTTTGGGCCTTTGCCGCCGTTAACAAAACGTTGATCAAAGCCAAAAGCATCCTTTTCACGCTCGAGCAGATGCTTGGCCTGGCTTGGGCTGGGCTCCTTTTCTGGCTCCATTTTTCCACAAAGGAGCAATAAATTAGAGCATTAGCCCCCGAACGAATCGTTGGTGCCAGCCGAGAAAAGCTCTTAACACACAAATACACACACAGAGACAAAGAGTGGGAGGGGAAAATCAAGAAAGGGAACTGGTACTTGTATTTAGTTTTTCGGTAATGAATGGCATTGATTGCAATACGCATGAATCAAACGGCTTCAAAGTGATAAAAGGCCATTTGTCCGTAAAAGCCGAATGGAAAAGTGGCAAAGGCGTCTCGTGGGCGTGGCTTAGAAGTGGAAAACCATTGCAGATGGCAAACTAAAATAGGTAGATAAAGCAGTAACAACGCAAGGACTTGCACATAGTATCTTCCTGTTTACTTTTGCCTGCCATCCATGTAGCTTCGTTCGGTTAACTTAACAGGCAAATAAATACATTGGTCAAGAGTTTTACGTGTGCCAGTATGTATACATATGTGCGAGTGCTTGAAACGAGAAGGATGTGCAAGGATACTCTGCTTGTTGAGAGAAAAAGTATATGTAAAGTGTGTATATATTCAAATGAGTGAGCTTAGTGGGCTTAGCAACTGAATGGAACTGAATGGAACTGCATATTAATTAATGGCCAGATCAGCGTCCAAAGAGATACCATAGGCTTTTAGTAAGGGAAATTCGAAACCAGAATGGGATTTAAGGATTTGAGTTTAAAGGATTAAAGGTGCACAGATATTCCGTATTTAAGATTTCAATTTTTGTATTTAAGGTTCCAATTTTTCAAGAATTCTTTATATATAAATTAAACTTTAATTATTCCTTTTGTTCTTTGAATTACCCCTCTTTCTCTGTCACGAATTCCTCAAATTAAGAGCTTTGCAGCTGGAACTCCATTTCTTTTTCTTTTTCTGATTCTTATTTCTTTTTTTCCCGCTCTAATTAACGCTTGTTACGTCCTCACATGTTCTGAATACCTAAATGGAGCCCACACAGCCCCGCTATACCCATTCTACTTCCCATTTTCAGTCCCCTTCCAATTTCTAGACCCAAGGTTGCCCTGGTCGCTTGTTAATTTTGATTGATTCAATGCTAAACAGTTTCACCTTCAGCCAATTAGGTGGGAGCTCAGCTCTCTGCCACGAATATGTAATCAAATTGGAATGACATTGCAGGATGGCAGAGCTCAGCGCCAAGCCAAACCTTCGTAAACCGACAAATGAAATGAGCTGAGGGATAATTCCAAATTGATTTTCGCATTGCAATGCAGCAATTTGGCAGCCGAAGAAAAAAAAGGAAGGAAAGGAAAGGAAACTTTACAAGTCAGTCTCGTCTGTATTAACCTGGCTCACCTATCTCTCGCCTCAACCCCACCCTGTGCTCCTGCAATCCATTGCAGATTTCGCCTTTGAATCAATTTCGTTTGGCTAACAACATTTTTGCTCGAGAACTTCTTTAATGCCTCACTTAATCGCAGCAATGCCAGGAACGTGCCACAGATACCGAATAACTTTTTCCCCCAGGTTCCCAAGCAAGGTTAACCTTCAACCCGGGCATGCTTTTAGGGGGTGAAGAACCGAAGCACCTCCCCCAAGGCACCCTGCATAAACACTCTATCAAATATTGTAATTTTTGACAGCGACATATGAAAAGATTTTCGCCCATCAACACGAAAGAAAATCGGTGGGGGAGGGAGCAGGCTCTCGGGGTTTGGAATTGGGAGGTGACAATGGCAGTGCCAATGACATGGCATCCCATCACCAACCTCCCAGCTCCCACGCTCATCTCGTCCACATTTGACATTCAAAAGTCATTGATAATTATGGCTGAAACGTGAACGACAGCCGCATCGAGGGATCACAATCAATTCTTGATTAGAAATCGTAACGAAAGCACCTGGCTCACCTGTGAGGATAGGGATATATGTTCCGGGATAAGGGTATGACAGAGGGCTGGGGGGGTGCAGAATATATATGTATATACAGGAGGAGCCCATCACTGCGCCTAAGTGGGCGTGTGTTGGAGCGAGTTCTCGGGTTCGTCTGTGCGTAAATTGAATTTTGATTTTGCACCGTGCTGAGATATGGCGTATTAGGCCCCAAAGTAATCAGGTGGGCGTGGCAGGAGTAGGACAGGGGACAGGACCGACGACCGACTGGCATTTAATCTTTTTTGTGATTGTTGTTTGGCCGTGTTCGCATTCGTGTTCGTGTTTTGGGTTGCCCATTTAGGCTTACCCATGTGAACGTTTTCAGCCACTCGTGCGAGTTTTGCTAGGACACCGGATGAAGTGGGTGGTGGCAGGACCCTACACACCTTCAGGACTATGTGAAATCCCATTGTCAGTTTTTGGGGCCCGATGATGAAATTCAAGAAACATCCAGCAGGCAGGCTGCCCACTTTTGGGCCAATTAAAAATTCATGAATCATTTGACAAACTCTTTGGACTCTCGGGCCAATCTCTCTCTCTCTCTCTCCGGGGAGGCTGGAATGGCAAATGCGTATTAATCTTCCCTAAAAGGGTGTACCTAATTCCGGAGGCCCCTTTTAAATCACAAATTTGATTAGATTTCCCAGTGATTCACCACTTTCTGGGTCAAGTTTTTCTTCTTTAAAATTTCAACTTCAAATGGTTGGCAGTGTACTTCAAGTCCTGCCATGAGTCCTGGGCCTGCCTTTGCCTCACATCCTGCAACAGTTGAACAGTTCCGCTCGACAGCTTCCGCTCGGCTTGATGATTTCATGGAAAACTTCATTGAGCAAGCGGAAACTATTTCATTTCGGTGGACGAGTTTCGGATTCAGATTCAGCGTCAGCTTTCGCTTCAGGTTGTTGCTCCTTCAGGAGTCTTTTTTTGAAGTTCTCCCTTTGCTTTTCCTTTTAAATTCTCCTGAACTCCAAGCCACTTAAAGTGACACGCACAGATATTGATTGGTTCTCGCCCCCATCTGGGTCCGCTGGTAACCGCTTTGATCTGAGTCCTGGGAGTCGCTAAGCAAGCCACGTCTCAGGTCGGTCGGTCTCTTCTGCTGGTTATTTGCATGCCTTTGCACTGCTCTTCGATTAATATAAAATTTGATTAAACTTGGTCACTGCTACTGTGACTCCGCCTCCCTCTCCCCTTGCTTGTGGGTTAAGTACACATGACCCCGACTGGCAAAAGACGGATACGACAGAGCCTGTCCGCCACGGGTGGGACGTGGGACGTCCCCTTTATTTCCTCCCGTGAGCAAACATCACGCTGTGCCCCAGCAAGGAGGCAGCAGTCAAATAAATAACTTGTAAAACATGCATATGAGCAAAAATGTTTGAAAATTGCCAAAATGTACAGGAGAAGGGGTCGTTTCTGCTTTTTTCTGTTGCTTTTTTCCCGAAGAGGATTCTGTCTTTTTTTTATCCTGTTTCTTTTGGGTGCTCTGGAGTGACTGACAGGCTGAAGTATCGTAGTAACCGAATGGGAGTCGGGGTCGAAGGACCCAGAGACGAAACGAATAAACACATTGTAAATTGATTTCCTTGGGAACTCAAATAAAAATGGCATGAAAAGCAAGTGAGCGACAGTTGGGCCGAAAGCTCCGACCACGCCCACCTCGATTGAAACGAATGAATGGGCAAACCAATTTTTATTGCCACGCGGGACACGTAGCCCGGGCAGAAGGAGAGAGAGAGAGAGCCAACGGGCTTTGGTCTTGGCTTGAATTCCCACATGGAATCCTGCTTCTTGGGTACGAAGGAAGCTGGCCAAAGAGTCAGTGAGTCAGTGAATCGGTCAGCCGGTCGATGAGTCAGTTAGTGAGTCAGTCAGAAGTCGGTTAGTGAGTGGGGCGAACGCCCGGCTTTTGATGAAATAACATTGCCAAGTAACAGTTTGCCTTTCGCCATTTATTTCCCTTCTCTCACCGACTCTCCCTCAGCCATTTTGTCAATTGTTGTCTGGGCCTGTCCTATCTCTATCTGTGTCCTCCGGTCGTCCCTTCGTCCTGTCGTCCGTGCAGGGCGAGACGAGAAGACAAATTGCTTTATCGACGACATACGTAACAAATGTTGCTGTCGGCACTGACAACAGCAACAGCAGCAGCAGCCACCAGCAACCAGCAAGAGGAGCAACCAGGACAGGGCGGTGGCAGAGGCAGCAACCTGGCCATTATTGGTTTCAAATGGCTTCGTTCTCGGGGCTTACCAAGAGGATACCCGTTCCCGCCAGCTCTCTCTGCTAATTATGACTTAATTATTTCAATTATTTTCCCTTCGATTTATTGAATTTTATCGCGAAACCCCGTACGTGTACGTGTCCTTGTACGTGTAGCCAGGAGGCGTATCTTAATTAAATTGGTTGCCCACATTCTTGATTCTGAACCATTCACTTGACTCTCTCTTGCAGATTTCGGACGATGATCGAATGAGCCTAACTACCGCCGTTTCGGATGAAGATGATGGGGAAAGTGTCATGGCGTCACCATATAAAGCAAAGGCCACTGGCACCGCTGCATCCTCGTTCAACTGCACGGGAGCTGTTCGCAAAGCTGGGTGAGTGTATATATGTATATGTATATATATCCCAGGGAATTTATGCCTCCGGTAGATGTAATCTGGCAGCCAGAAATGGGGCTCACGTCCAACAAGTCATCATAAATAACAGGAGCCACGGACGGATGGTGGAGTGTGTGTGTGGGTCCACGGGGATGCCTCGGGGCACATAATTTCCCAGTGATTAAGGTGGAGAAAGCAGTGTCGGGGGATTAACATTATTAGGAGTGGGTCCGTGTCCGTCTAACGTAGAGGGTATCAGATTGGCGGAACCACCGCAGGAGGGGGAGATTATTGTAAGCCTATAACTTTTATTTAATCTTGATTCGCCTTAGCAGCTAACTCAAAATATAATAATGTTGCCGTAAACGTGGCTGCCCTGTGGTTATATATATGAATTTTTCTTGTAACTTCTTTATTATAGAAAATTCTAGTAATTATTAAACTATAAGAAATACTTCTAATTTATTCAATTTATTTTGAAATGTCTAATTTGTATTCTTATTAATTTTGTCAGTCAGTTTCTTTCGAATCTATCTTTAACCTATCATTGAAATATTTGAAAAATTGTACTAGAAAAATGCTCCAATTTTTATTCAATTTTGATATTAACAAAATTACAAGTCAGGGTATTTCCCACTCCGACTTCCCCTAAGCTAGCCTCTTCTGTTATGTTATGATAAACCGCTTGAAGACTTATGTACGCAGGACCTGACCCCCATACCATAACCAGCCTGTATACTGATTAGCCCCTAAGGTTAATGTGGTTGATGGAGGAAGCTGCTAAAGTTCTCCTAGGGATTACGAGTACTTCTGCTCCTACTCCTACTCCCACCTACTCACCAAAAACTAACTGACTTTCTTGCTTGCAGCTTCCTATCGGTAAAGAAATGGTTACTACGCAAGAAGCACCAGATCGAGCTGGCCAGGAAGCGGGGCTGGAAGGGCTACTGGGTGTGCCTTAAGGGCACCACGCTGCTCTTCTATCCCTGCGACTCCCGCGAGGGCCGGAGCGTGGAGGCTGCGCCCAAGCACTTGATTATCGTGGACGGCGCAATTATGCAACCGATACCCGAGCATCCCAAGCGCGACTACATCTTCTGTCTGAGCACGGCGTTCGGCGATGCCTATCTTTTCCAGGCGCCCTGTCAGGTGAGTATCTTTATTACTGCGTGTGTGCGTGTGAGTTAGGGTAATGGAAAAGGGAGAGAAGCTGAGTGATGTCGAGATGCCCTGGGCTATGCTCGCCCTCATTTCGAGCAGTCAATATCCAAGGGAAGTCCTTCAAGGCGGCTGTGAAAGACTGGCCTTCGCCGCGTAGAAAGATGGCAGCGCAAATTTGTTTGCACAAGGATATGCAAGGATATGCGAGCTGGCGGGTTCAGCGCTCGCGGCTCCAAGTCCATCTCTGTCCGTTCTCTGCCCATAATCGCCAAGCCAAGCTAAGCCCAGCCAGGAGATGACTGAAATGTATGCCATAAAGAAACCGCAGATACAGATGAATGCACTTGAAAAATTGTCCTTTGGGGGGATTTATAAAATATGAAAAAATATTTAATTAATAAATAAAAAGTTCAAAAGTCTAAATTTTAATTTTGTTTAGAAGTTGAAGAGTCTTAGGCTCATTTTCTTGTAATATAAAATCCTTTGAATAACTTCTTTTTAAAGATTCTTATCAAATATTAATTTTAAGCTTTATAAATAATAATCTTTAAAAATCTCACATCCTCGAAACCCAAAGTAGACATCAAATCATAAACAGAAAAACCTGCTAGAGTCATAACAAGGACATTTTTAAAGCTGAGACAGCGTCATATTTCTGCGAGTGTGAATAGATGCAAATGCAGATACAGGACGAGGACGAGATGACGATGACGATGATGGTGTTGGTGATGGCGACGATGACGGTGACGGTGACGAGGACGAGGACATGGACATGGACGAGGACGCTGGCAAGGCACTGACTGACGCAACCCGCAAAAAGCACTAAGAGTGAGAGAGAGATTGAGAGAAAAAAGATAGAGATAGAGGTAGCCGGGGGGCGGCTTAAAGTGTGAGCCATGATTGAGGTGGCGTTGACTGACTGCCAACTGGCAGATTGCCTTGAACAGCTGCAACAGCAGCGGCATCCTTGTGGCAGCCCTAAACTGTTACATGTCTCAAAGGCATACGTTCAGGATGCACCTCCGCATTCTCCGGAGTCCACCATCCCACCACCCATCCATGCCTGTCAGGTTGCCAACTCTCGCTGTGGCCCAACGTGATTTGTCATTAAATTTGCATAACTGATAGCCAGCGATGAGCGGATGAGCAAGATGAACAGGCGAGGGAGGGACGAACGGGAATGCCGATGGAAATGGGGGACAAGTTCGACGTTTGGCGCTGGGGAGCCATGTCAAATTGCTTGCGGTGCATTTGGCCTGCAATTTGTTACAATTTGTTCCACCTCCGCTAAACTACCTTCCTCTCAATCCGCAGGTGGAGCTGGAGAACTGGGTAAACAGCATTCACAGCGCCTGTGCCGCTGCCTTTGCCCGGCATCGCGGCAAGACCGGAACCCTGCACCTGCTCCAGGAGGAGATCTTCCGGTTGGAGAAGGCCATTGAGTCGGTGAGTACCCCCCAAAAATATCAAGTAAATATGCGGGCATTATAACCCGAAAACCAAATACATTTCACAACACACATACTATTCGCATTCACATTCACCTGACGCTGCGAGCGTGCAAAAGTATTCGTTGCGGTTTCGGTTTCAGGCTGCCGGAGAGCTCCTGGCGAATGCCAGTGGAATCCAAGAAGCAACGCTTCCTGGGCTTGGATTGCGGTTGCAGTTCCGCATTTCATGGCAGCTGCAAAGGCAGTGGTTTTATCCGCAAATTGTTGCTGCTCTAGGAGTTAAGTCAATTTCACCAAGTGGCTGCCATGCGAAATGAATGTCAAAGGGATAAGCTTCGTTTCGTTTCGTTTCGTCGCTGAATGTAGCAGGCGGGCCCATAAATACCCCATCGATTGGCATTTGTGCAAATAGGATTTGCCTCTGTCATGGCGCGCACTGTCCTGAATGGCACGCACACACATTGCATTGAATGGCTGATGAAAAGCAAATTAAGTAAGAAAATCCATCAAACGGAGGACTAACTGCACATCACTGCGTGCAGCCAACAATGAAAATGTGTTGTCAATACTACCGTAAATGTTTTGAATTTTGATTGCTTGTGAATTGAAGCATTCCTATACAGGAAATTGAAAAATTTATTAATAGATATGGTATATTCAATTAAGTTAAGACAGCTTAGGCTAGAAAAAGGTAAATGTTAATGGGAAAGGTTGCAAATATCAGAGGTCTTAGGCAGAAATCCTTATTTCCAAACCTCTTAAAAACTATTTTTCCTTGAATTTGGATACTAAATATTTTTTGGAATACCTTTAGTAACCTTTTAAATTGATTTCAAAACACTATTGAGGTATCTCTGAAGACTCCCCATCATTTCCTTTCAAATCCAGGTTAAATTTGATTACTTAAAACTACATTAAAACACTTTCCGCTTTAAAGTACCAAGTCCCTTCAATCGACATCTGTTCCATAACTCGTTGGAGCTCCAGGTAGCTCCGCGAATCCCCTGCCTGACTCACTGCCTAATGTAATCGACTAGAAAAACAAATTCCCACAGATATATCCCGCACAGGACAACAATTGCTCAATATCGCGCTGTCAACTCAGAAGTCAACAGCACAACAAGCTCGACGGAACACAACAATCGCATTTTCCCCCTCCGCATTTTCCGCACTTTTCGCATTCCCAACCAATTTCTCAGTCCCCAACGATTTCCCAAAGATTTATGCCATTGTCGGAGGTTTTCGCGAGGAAAGTAAGGAAAGCTGCTTCTACTTGCAACTATTTATGTATTTGCTTTCAAATCAATTCCCCATCAATTTCGCGGCAAACAGCGTAAAATTCCTTGCACTGCAATTTATTTTCCTCTCCAGCGAAAAAAAAGAAAAACTTTTTTGCGGGAAAAGAGGCAGGGAGAGGGGAAAAGGAAAATAAAAAGATGGTAGGGAGTGCGAGCAAATCAAAGTGAGGAAAATTTCTACGCGGCGCAAGACAAAGCGTTGGGGAAAAAACGAATTGCGAAAAGCAAACGGAATTGAACTCGAGCTGAAGCTACAAGAAATTGCACTTGGCCCCACGATAAATGCTGTGGATAAACCAGGCAAGTGGAAAGGACGAAGAGATACTGCCCTTCTAAAGAAACTAAACTTTATTTGTTTATTTATTTTTCATCATGTCATTTTCAGTTGCTTCTCTTTGCCTGCCTGCTTGCCTGCCAACCTGCCACGTTTTTCCCCTCTAATTTCCCCGCTGTTATCCTGGATATCTGGTGTTGTTGTTGCTGTTGTTTGTTAGTTAGTTAGAAGGACTCTGAAAGACAATTATGTTGTCTGTCCTATCCGCTCCTCAACAACTTGATTCATTCGTCTCTGTCGCTGGCATCGCTGCCGCTTTTGCTGCCCCAGTTGCCACAGTGTCTGCTGCAAAACTACAACTTCCGGTTATCCGGAAATTTTATGGAAGAAAAAGTTACAGAATTATTACAAGAAGTGAAGTTTTGCATGCTGCAATAATTAATCAAGAGCAGCAACCGCCACTTTTAAGGTTTTTGAATATGTTAAAAGTTGAAAGCTTAGTTCAAATTTTGAATAAATAAGAATAAATTGTAGTCAGAATAAAGGAATCCCAAAGAGATTTAAATAAATACAAAAATATCCCAAATGAATCTACTTTAAAGTGCTATTTTTCAGTTTTAAGATTTAACTTAACAACTTAAAAGTATATAAATAAATATATTTATATAGAAAACCCCCAAAAAGCCAACAATTTTAATTATTTATATTAAATACTCAACCATCACTTGTGCCTCATTTTTTTCGCTGTGTCCCAGTTTCGATTGCTGCCACCACTGCGAGCCTGCCAGCCACCCCCCTGGACTCGATTGCTTCTTGGCGCCCTTTTTTAATTTAGTTTTTTTTTTCCTCTCATTTGCTCCACAAAGTTGTAGTTTGATGTTATGACCAGAGCGAGGGAGACAGGAGAGACTGCTTCGTCCTTCGGCCGCCTTCCACTATCTGTCCCTTTGGATAAACCATAATTACTTCCTTGAACTGCTGCGTTTTTGCTGCTTCACTTCTCTATCTCTCCCTGTTTGTGTTTACTTCGCTGCCAGAAAAAAAAAAGCAAGAAAAGCGAGCCGGGAAAGAAAACAAAAACCATTGAGCGGAAGTCCGAGATTGCCATAAGAGTGCTCTTGGTCCTATTGCTTCCGCTGCCCCCTCTGATTTACTTCTCTCCGTCTTTTAAGTGGGCCTCAGTTGGCCAAAAACAAACTTGTTAGATGAATATTAATTAAATGAGCTTAAGGAGTGGCCATAAATGCAGTTTGCATTTAGCATTTAGCATTTCTGCGTCTCTGCATTTGTTGTTAATTAATTTTGTAGAAAAATACGTACAAAGAAATGGGATATGCACACACAAGACGAAAAAGTCAAGAGCAGAAGATGCTTGCTCTAGAAATATTTAAACTTAAAAGATATATGTATAAATATAGCAAAATATATAAAATACGTATTATAGAGATTTTAAAATAAAAATGGATTTTTGAACAATGTTTTGATATTCCTAGCCGCTTCATTCTTAGTTTATCTAATTTAAAATAGAAATAATAACCCGAAACCAAATAAAAATTCGTTGCGGTTATGAAATCACTTTAAAAATATCACAAATATATGCAGTAAAATGTAGTTAGTGTAAATTGATATATTTTTTATTATTTGAAGTTGCAGCAAAGTTTTGGCCACATTTAAAATAGAGATTTCACAATCCTTGTCATATCTCAAGCACTCCTAAATCCCCTTTCCTGACTAAAATCCCCCATAGAAACCTTACTCTCTGAAACAACAATATTATTAATTTTAATTAAATAAAGTAATACAATTTTGTTCAGTGTACAAGATAAAACAGCGCAGAGGGGTAGGTGAGGGTGAGCTTGAATGAAATTAAAAGAAAGATGATACAGTGGCAAGTAAGGCAACAGCAGAAAAAAAAAGGTGTCACACCAACGCGTTTCATTCTAGTTGCTCCTTTTGTAAGCCAGTGTGTGTATGTGTGTGTGAGTGTTTGCGTGTAGGCGGGTCACAACTGCTCCTCCTCCCCCAACCCCCTCTCTCGCCCTGTGCTGTGAAAAGAGCAACAGTGTTGTCTCACTTTTTTCTGACACTTTTTGTACCAGCTTCTAGTTGCTGTTGTTGTTGTCTTGCCTTCCACTTTTGTGCGTTGTTGTTGTTGTTGCTTTTTATAGCTGTCACCTTTCGGAAATAATCATATATGTGTCAGCGGGGGGAGGGCGGTTGCCCCCTCTTAAGAGGGGGGTATCAGGGAGTAGGCGGTTTTGGCAGCACTTCGCTTCGTTTGCTTTAGCTTTTCTAGTCTCAGTGTAGCTATAGCTGTATCTGTATCTGGGTGTGTGTGCTCTGCTCCTCCAGCTGCTCCTTCTTCTTTTTTTTTTCTAGCTATCTATTTTTCTTTTCGCATAAAGCATTCACACACACATACATATATAAACATACACGGACACACACACAATGCAGGGACGTAAAAAAATAGTAGTAGCTGCCCGAGCGCGTTTGGTTTTTCGTACGCTCTGGTTTTTACGCTCTAATTACGACTCCTACGACACCACGTATCCCTCACAGCCTCCTTCTGCTGCTACTGCGGCTCCTCCTGCTCCTGGCCCATTCCTCACCTGTGCCAGTGTACCTGTACCTTCATATCTTCATCCCCTCGCAGCTGGCGTGTGCAATTGCCATGGCGGTGCTGTCTAAACAAGCTCTGGCTCTGGCTCTGGCTCTGGCTCCAGCTCCTAGTCCAGGATCCTGCTTTCAATTTGCAATGGCTGCTGTCATTTTTAGCTCAATAGCAGCTCACTCGTCCCCATGCCACGCCCACTGCGTCACGCCTACCAATTCCGCCTATATTTTCTCTGTCAGAAACATTGGTCTTAAATCATGGCTTTAAGCAAAAATCGTGGAATACCAAACACTAGGAGACATAGTTGAATTGAAATCAATTGAAATGGTGTCTAAAAGTAGGCTACATAAAATAATACCTATAAAATCTATATGATTCCTTAAACTTTGGAGAGTTTATTACATTAAAATAAATAAAATAGGTTAATTTAGAGAAATGTCAGTAAAATTGCAAACTCTAGAATCCAAGGTTGAATAGAAACAGTTGGCTATCTAAAATAATATTTATAACATATACAAACTCTAAAGTGTTAATCATTTACAGCAATTTTCTTTATTTAAAGTATTTCTGATTTTATTTTATAAGTTTTTTAAGTTTCACCCCAATATCTGGGCTTTAACATTTTTCCACTTATTCGTAGAAAGCTTTTCATTCGCTTTTCGTTTGCTCTATTTTATTTTTTTGTTTCTCTCCAACTTGTTCAGGTATTTTACACACTTTAACCGCAGTTTTGCCGCCTTTATTCCATTTTAAATAATTGCACTAATTAAATGATGCATCAGTTGTGAATTGAAAGCTTAATACAA